AATTTGCAAGTAAGAATTTCTTAGAAGGATCTGAGCCCATGATATGTACTGGTTACTGGTTTGATACGAGCAATTATTTGAAGTCTGAAGCTGATCATAGAATCATGGAATGGTTTGGGTTGGAAGGGACCTTAAAGATCATCTGTTCCAACCCTTCTGCATGATGACTATGATAATATAAGTATCTCATTTACTGTCTGCAACGTATTCACAGTTGTATCAGGAGTTGCAGAGATAAGAAAGACAGAACCATCATTTGCCCCAGCAGCCACTGGGTGATGTTTCTGCTCTGAGGAAAGCAGAGCTCTGCTTACAACTGGCAGAATTTGTCCTAATGAGTGCGTCCCAGCAGCCAAGGGCAGGGTGCCAGGTCTGTGTGCTCCTGCTGGGGTGTCCTCATGCCCAGGGCTGTGCAGATTGCTGGGAGTTTTCTATAGCTCCTTAAAGGACTTTGATTCATGACCCAGGGTGGCTTATCTTCAGAGGGCTGTGATTACTGCTTCCACTGCTGGGATGGTTCAGCTGCTCATGAAGCAACTGCTGAATTGGTGCAGTTTACAGCCCAGCATAGTAAAATAAACGGGCACTTCTGTAGGTTATGCCAGGCTGTAATTTGTTACGATTCAGCAGCTGCTGGATAAATAGCTGAGTTATTCCTGCAAGGGGGCACAGCAGACAGCTGGGTGGCAGAAACAATACCAGCTATTCCAAGGTAAACGGTTTCTATTTGAGAATCAGAGTGCTTAGGTAATGAAAAAGATGAATGTATGTTATTATTGTAAACTGCATGACTTAAAAATGTGTCAGTCACTTTGCATTGTTCTGGTACTGTTTGCTGCTGTTTTTCCAGCCTCTAGTTTTATTTGATTGGTCTGGGAAGTGCACAGAATCCTTGATTGGGGAAAAAAATCCCAGCTGTCTTCAAGAGCATTCAGGGTTCTGCTTAAAAACCATTTGGTTGTTATTTTTTTTTCTCTCTTTTCTCTGTCTCAAAGGTATCAGAAAGCAGCTGAAGAAGCCACTGCTGAGAAAAGAAGAAGTGTAAGTATTTATTTCCTAGGCAATAAGCAACAGTCTGCAGTCAGAACAGATCACCTACATGCCATGTTTCACAGAGACAGCTGATTTTTTGGAATATCAAAATTGCTGCCATGTGTCCTACAGAAAACTTGGCTTAGACATAGTGTTTGCTCTTGACTCATTCCCCCTGCCCTCTCCCAGCGTGAATGAAAGGGAAGAAAATCAAGTTCCTTGCCCAAAGCTATGTGTTGAATCACCACTTCACTCCTAAGCAAAAGTTGTTAACCACAACACATGAATATCCACCTCTTTGTTCTTAGCTGTAGGCAGTCGTGTGGTACCTCTTCCTTTCCTGACTCATTTAAAAAGTCTGCTTAAAGAAGCTGCCAGCCCCTCTGAAACCTACTGGGTATCTTTGATAGCTGGAGAATCCATTAAGGAGGATCTTCTCTGAAGTGGCTTGCAGGGTTCCAAATGCCCCTGGCTGGGGGAGAACCATCCCTTTTGGTTTTGCTGCAGCCTCACATTCCCTCCTGCAAACTGTTCTGGGCATCCTGGTCTAACACCAGGGCTGCAGGTCTTGGTATAAGCAGATCCTTAGCTGAGTATTTATTGAAAAAGACTGGCAATGTTTTCAGGATAGATGTGTAAGTCATTGTTAGACTGTGCTGCCTTGATCTCTGTAATGCTTGGGGAGTCATGCTTTTTCTGCTGGGGTTGTAGGTGTGATAAAATAAGCATTCTAAAAATTCCTCTGCAGTCTTAAATTTTCTTATTGCTTGTGTGATCAGGCAACAGGCAGGAACACCTCGTGTTGTGAAGTGTGCTGGGACTCCACAGGCAGCAGGTCCAGAGGTGTTCCTGTGGAAACCTGTGCAGTTCTGAGTGCTTCTGATACACTACAACATTTGCCTTATAACTTTAGTACTTTCTTTTAAATAGAGCCAGCAAGCAAGATGATATTTTTTGAAGTCTAGATAGATTGGAGTGAATTTACAAAGCAGTGTTCAAAATGTGACCAGAAGAGTAATAGGGTGAGAGACTTAAATCCTAATATAGCTGTTAATCCTGTTTAATTCCTGTAAGCCTTGCAGACCTGTTCCACTTGCAGTGAGTGGGATGCAGAGTGGTCCCCATAAGGGAGAGGGAGCAAAAATGCAGGTATGAGATTTAAATGGATCAGAGATGGGCTGGGCTGTTATTTTAGGGAGAGGTAATTGCTTGTAGGCAAAACTAGTCTGGAAAGCAGTGGACTAGGAGGAGTGCTACTGCTCCATGTAGTGCCACCTCACTCAGGGTGGCAAGGCAGCCCTGGTGTGTGTGCATCCTGCCAGAGCTGCCAGTGGTTTGTGTGCAAGAGCAGGAAAATTCCAGCAAATGATCTGGTGTTTATAAATGGGAGCAAGAAGCCATTTGTTGTCAGTGCTCAGTGTGAGCCTTACAGGACATGGTGTCAGATACTGCAGACAGATCTCTTATGACTGAAAGGCTACTGTTAACTGGTAGCAGAAATGCATAACTCCAAGAAAGCAGTGGTTTCTGAAAGCTAATCTGTAGCTTTTTGGAAGGCCTACTAATTATTGTCTTCTGGACCAGCTGGAAGACATTGCAGGACTTGGCAGAGCACCCATCCCTTACGGGGCTGCTTTTCCTGTTGTTTGCTTGTTCTAGGAGTAGAGACCCTTGTTGTGTGGATTTTGGTCCCCTTTCCTTCGCGTGTGGATCCAAACCTTTTGTGTGTCATTTAACTCATTAAAGCTCGACTCCCTTTTCCCTTATAAGGCCATCCTGTTTGCTCACTTCCTGCTCCAGCTCCTGACTTTTCTGTTCTCCCCCCTCCTTCCTCTCCTATCCTGGATGCTTTCTGCATGCGGCACAGTTGTAACTATTCACAGCTGTCTGAAAAAGCTGAGAGCTGAGCTCAGTCCTGAGCCTTTAACTTCCTTTCGCATAGAAAGGAAGTGCTATTAATGCTTCACCAGGCAGATAACTGGAATTAACTTTTTGCTCTTTGCAGAACCCAGAAAATCTCCCCCCTCATTTTAAACGGGGGAATCTGAGTGTGTTAAAGAAGAAGTGGGAGAATCCAGTGCCGGGAACAGAGTTTCGGAAGGAAACGCTCCGGGGCAGCTGTGCTGAGGTTGGGCACAAGGTCGGCAGCCCCGGGCTGGGAGCCGGGAGCGCTCCCGCTGCTCCCCCAGACGCGGAGCGACCCCCGGGGGCTCCTGCTCCCGCTTCCAGCCCCCCCGAGCAGCCGCGGGGTCCCGCTGGGGACAGCAGGAGGCTTACAAGCCACTCAGCGGAGAGTGGGAAAATGGAAAACTGTCTGAGAGAGCCCCGGGAAGTGGAGAAGCCTGAAGGCAGCGAGAACGCGGACTCCGCGGGGAAGATCGAGAAGTACAACGTTCCTCTGAGCAAGATCAAGATGATGTTTGAGAAGGGGGAAGCGGCTCAGCCCAAGGTAAGGATCAGTCCCTTCGCATCCTACGGGAAACTGAAGCCCTGCCGCCTCATGGGCATCAGGAAAAGTCCCTGGAGGGAGCGGCTCTGAACTATTGACTCCGCAAATAATTGTGGTCATTGTTTTAGTTGGAACGTAAGGGAGCTGGTGAGAATGACTTGATCTGAGCTGCAGTCGGAGCTGTGCCTGGTTGTGGCTGTTCCCTGGTGATGGGAAACGAACGTGCTTGTGGAAGGGGTGCAATTCCAGAGAGGAAAAGTGTGGAATTTATTAAGTTGTTGAGGTTTTTTAAAAGCAATTTTGGGTTATGTCATGTCTGAAAATTAAGGTGAATGATGTAAATATGAGTAATATAGCTGTAGATACTTATATATGTATTATATATATTTTAAAGTAACTTTGAAGTCAGCTCAACAGTCTGGGCTGGTTGCAGTTTGAGATGGAAGAGCTGCCAGAGTTAAGAGATTGTTTTAACATACATATCAGCATGTGAGTCACACATCTGCACATACAGAGATACTCGTAGGTCCTGTGAAATACTCCCCTCTTTTCCTTGCTGTTCTCTCCTCCTTGTATCTTAACAAAAGTTTCTTATCGGGGGGGGAAAAAAAATCCTGACGGGGGGGTGGGGAATAAGCAGGGAGAGCCAGACAAGCTCCTGCCTTCACTAGTTTTGACTTGCAGACCAGAGGGCTTGCATTTTCCTACAACTGCTCATGAAACCTGATCCCGCATGTGGACGGCAGACTGGGTGTCCCCGGGGAGAATTGCTTAACTAGAAAATGAGTTGCATATGCGAGTGACTTGCAACATAGTCCTGGGGCCTTGATGCTGGTGGATTTTCCAGTTTTCTCATAGTTTCCTATACTTCTGGCTTTGTTTTCCTGCGGGTGGTTTTCTTCCAGTGTTATGTAAATCGAACGAATTTGGTATGAAAGTGGATTAAATACATAACAATTAAGGGCTTCAGAGGAGCGTCTGTGACAAAGTGAGTTTTGGGTCTGCACAGAGTAGTTTCATAACTTGGATTTTTGTAGTCTTTGTCATGAGGCCAGAGCTGCCCAGGCTCTCAGGGCGTGGAAAGGCTGGGATGGGTGATCTCCAGACTGACCTCCTGCCTTGGGAGTCATCAGGCAGGATTCCACAGGAAAGCACCGTTTTGCAGATGGGCTCCAAGTGACTTTTATCTTAGCCTGGGGGATAAATTGTTTTGGAGCTGACTGAATCTGGAACTGATACTTCTGTCAAAGTTAGTCATTCAAGTATTGTTGAAAACCCCCTGAATGCAGTGATGACTGTATCATAGGTGTGGAACTGCTCAGTCTAGGGTCAGGTTATGTTCCTGTTCCAAGTTCATCTGGTTACTTTTTAATTTCACAAAGGAAAAGGCAAAAAGTGCTCTGAAGTGTAATGGGGGAGGGGGGGGCTTTGTAATTAGAAAGCACTATTGTGAGATCTCTGGTTCTGGGGGATGATGTCATGCAGCCACGTACAGCAAAGATCGTTGGGGCTTTGGGGACACAGATCTTGTTCACTGAGGTAGGAAGCAACCCTAGCAATGCTCTGAGTTTTGCCAACTGCAAGCTCTGCAATTGCCTCTTCCATTTTCCTCATCCATGCTTTTCCTGAACTCTGTCCACAGGAAACAGAGCTGTTGGAGAGGCTCCAGAGAAGGGCCATGAAGATGATCTAAGGGCTGGAGCAGCTCTGCTCTGGAGACAGGCTGGGAGAGTTGGGATGTCCAGCCTGGAGAGGAGAAGGCTCCAGGGAGACCTTAGAGCACCTTCCAGTGCCTGGAGGGGCTCCAGGAAAGCTGGGGAGGGGCTTTTGACCAGAGAGGGCAGGGATAGGACATGGGGTAATGGTTTTAAACTGAAAGAGGGGAGATTTAGGTTGGACATCAGGAAGAAATTCTTCACCATGAGGGTAGAAAGGTGCTGGAATAGGTTTCCCGGGAGGTTGTGGCTGCCCCATCCCTGGAGGTGTTCAGGGCCAGGTTGGATGAGGCTTGTGCAGCCTGGGCTGGTGGGAGGTGTCCCTGCTCATAGCAGGGAGTTTGGAACCTGCTGATCTTTAAGTTCTCTTCCAATCCTCACCATTCTATGATTCCATGATAAAGCCCTGGTTTAAGTGCAAGGCAGGCTTCAGCTAAGGGAGAGAGAGAGCAACTACCTTTGGTATTTACTTTATCCTTTTGTTGTAAGTGCTATCAGAGCTTTGCTAATAAAAAGTCTGTATGAGCTGAGTAGCAACATGGCAGTAACTTCAGGACAGTAAAGAAAAAGGGACTTGCCTGGTTGCTGGGCAGGTCTGTGGCCAGAATCCAGAGGAGAGCCTGGATTTCCTGATTTAGTCACCTACTCCAGACAAACTTATTCTCATTTTCAGCATTATAAGCAAAGCCTCCTAGTTTATTCATTCAGATCTTGCTCTGTCTTCTGCAATTTGGATACAAAGCAGATCTTTTGTTTTATTGCATCTTCATGGAAAATAATGTTCTAAGCACATTAGAGGTAGACGTGTCAGTCTGGGTTGGTTCAGCACTAAGCAAAGACTGAACATCAGGTCTTTTATCAATTTCAATGAATTCTTTCTGTAAGTGATAAGGAAAGTACAGAAGGGAGATCAGAAGGAAAAAGCAGGCAGAGCTGCACTGATTCTTAATAAGTTGTCTCCAAGTGGGTTTGTGTTTTTTCTTTCAGGCAAAAGCTGCATGTTGTGTAGCTGCTAACCTGGTGTGCAGCCTCACATTTGACACACTTAATACAGAATGAAATGGGTGTAACTTTTATTTAGTCTTCTGCCCAACAACTCTTTGTGCCCCAGGCAGAATAGTGTTATCTCTGTGGTACCTCTGCACCTCTTTTGTCTTAGATCCTTGGGGCTTTCCAGACGTGAGTATTTTATCTCACTTTGCAAGCAGCAGGAGCTGTGGCTGGAGATGGAACTGAGTGGCACAGGCAGAAGGCTGGGAGCAGGGATTCCCTCATGCAAAAGGTGTTACCTTCCAAGAACCATAATTAATCACCTTAATTATTTGGGGTTGATCAGCCTATTGATTGAATGGGGAAAGTCCCTCATCTTCCTTTTGAACTTACCCCTTTTTTACTCTGGGTTTTTTACCTCACAATGTAAAATTGTTGATATAAAATCTATGCAGTATTGACTTGGTATTTGTAGGTTTAATACCAGGATTTGTACAGAATAATCTCTGAACTCTAAATCTTTTGTATTTTGGTGGTTTGGATTTTTCCTCTCAAGACCCATGGTAACTGTGTCACACAGCTTATCTACAGATATGTCCTTCAGGTGAAATTGTAAGACCTGTAGATGTCTGAGGTGGCAAAGAGGAGAGGAGCTGGTGGGTCAGTTAGAGTACTCATTAACTCAGTCTTAGCTGGTCATGAGATGGTTGCCTCTGAGGATTGAACTTCTCCTGCTATGTGGGGAAAGCTCTTTGCTCTGAAGTCAGAGCTCACCAGCCTTCATTGAGGTCCAGCAGAATCAAGCAGAAGAGTCTGTTTCTGATGAATATAGAATCCTCCACTGCTGGTAAAAATACAGAGGGTTCTGGTTGCTCAAAGAAAACCTTGATTTTGTGCATATGCACAGATGAGGTGTTGGAGCCTGATCCAGAGTTCCTGTTCAACATGGTGTTACTGGAGAGAGACTACAGTGAAAATAAATGAGAATGAGACTCTGAGAAGAGGTAACCCAAACAAGTTTCCAGTCTCTAACTGCCTTTTTCTTCTGAAAAGTGCTGATGGCTTTTTTCAGTGAGGTTGGGATTTCAGATGCTGGATCTAAATTACTTGAATTAAGACCTTTGTTCCCTACCAGTGAAAACTTCCTCCTGCACTCTGCTGCCAGTTTAACCTCCCTCCCATGTGTCTATGCTGTAAACTTTTATCATTTGTAGCTTTGTCCCTCCTGCTGTGTGCAGGAAAATGTGTGTGGTGCCATATTATTAGAAACAAAAAAAACAACCCCCAAAAGCCAGTTCAGCAATAGAATAGTCAGGAGTTTCAAATGTGCTGATAAACTTGTTCTCTCTTCTGCATCCTCAAAGGATCCAAGTGTATTTTGCCTATAATGATCTTCTTTGTATAGTAGGCAAAAGCTGGACTCTTTGATCAACAAACTAGTAAGAACTTCAGGCTGTGAATCATAGAATCATAGAATATGCTGAGTTGGAAGGGACCCATCAGGGTCATTAAGTCCAACTCCTGTGGCTCAAGGTGACATTGGAGCAGAAAGAGGCTGAATAAGATTCATGCAAGGACAGTTTGCTTAGGATGAGGAGTCTGCAAGTCCTCACAAGTGTGCAGACACTCCCCAACTGAACCTATCAACACACTCAACAGAAGGAAAAGACTTGTCACAGCTAAGCTCTTTTCCAGTAAGAAAAGTTACCAAAGTCTGAAACCACAGAAATAGAAAATATTTCCCATGCTAATGGAAAAAGAGCTTTTCCAGCTGCATTTTCCTTTCCCAGTGAAGTTGCTGGTTTGTGTGCCAAAGCAGCCTGATCTTTCACAGTGATTATCTTACAGTGCAGTTCTGTTAAAAGAAAACTTTGGAATTTCCTTCAGTTTGGTGACCAGCAAATAAGAAACTCGTTAGGAGTCGGGGGGGTGAGGGGAATGTGTGGTTGGAGCATCTTGCCAAACCTGCCCTTTTCCCTCCATTAGCCTCAGTCTTAATTTCCAACTGGATTGTGATTTAACTCTTCCTAGGAAGGGAGCACAGATCTACCACCTTCTAGTATTTTATAGAATGACCTTCAGCTGTGAAAAGGTCCTATCTTGATGAAGTCAAACTCTGCACTTCATGAGTATTTGTCAAAGCTGCTGAAATTGCTTTTCACAATTTATTGTGCATTAGATTTGGGGGAATTGGTCTCAGCAACTGAGCATCAGCTCTGATGGAGCCAGCCAGAGCATCTGGGTGGTGGTACTACAGAGCACCCTGAGCAGCTCTGCAGCCTGGCAGTGATAATCCTGGATATCTGAGCATATTTCTCTCTCACTCTTGTACTGAAGCTTCAGCCTTATCAGGCCTAATTAGGGAATTATTTGGTACCAAACATATGAGCTATCAACATCAAAAGAAGTAACTTTAGATAACTCTTAGTACAATGGTATTTAATCTTCTTTCTGTTGCTGAAAATCAGTGCAAGTTTTTGATAGCTCACTCCTTTCATCCTTTTTGATTTTGAATCTTCATAAAATGACCTTGAATATCAGCTTTAAAAGGAATTGAAAGGCACAAATCTAGACTGAAATTTTATACTTGCAGTGGTAAAGGCCTTAATATCTGATGTTTGTGGTTCCCTGACCTTTCACAGAGGTAACTAGTCAAAGGGCATCTCCTGACCTCTTCAAGAAAGTGTTTTCCAGGTTAGAGGGTCAGGTATTCTCTGATCAAACTTTATATTGGTTAAATGAGATGTCAGCTGCTAGACTTGTTTATTCCAGCAAAGCAGATTTGCTAGTGACACCTGTGCCTCTTAAGGGATTATACGCAACAATCTTGGTTTGTCTGAGCAGCTGAGAGGTGGGTCTTTTCTCTCCCAGGTCCCCAGAGACCAGAGGAAGGCAGCAGTTGGGAGGAGAGTCTCTGAAAACAGCCTCTCTTCGGAGGACTTTGATGCTGGCCAAGGGGAGAAGAGCCACAGTGCATCAGGTCAGTAAACCTCACTGGTTTTTAGTTTAGAAAGTAATGCTGCTTTATACAATGCAATAGAAATACCTTTTGCCCTTCAGAAGGGGAGAGAAATGCAGCCATCTTGCATCTGTAAGGTCCATGGGAACATTGCATTTCATGAATTAAGTCTTGCTATGAATTTTAAACCATAATACCAGAGCCCAGGAGATCACTAGCAAGTTAACAGAACCTTTTTTAACCTGTGTCTTAATCCTCGGACAATCCTAGGACTACTTTTAGTAGCCAATCTAATTTACAAAGTAGTGAACAGGCAGACAAGACAATATGCTGTCTTCCTTCTTGCTTTAAAGTTTCTCCCTCCTGCCTTGGCCAGACACAGGTAACTACAGCTGCCTTTAGGAGGTCAGCTAGAGGGTGGATTTCTCCTACCCTGGGAGACTTTTCTAACAAAGCACTTACAATCTTGTGTGTTTTCAGTCTGTGGCTAAAGTTACATCTCACTATTTAGAGATGTAAATTGTGTCCTTGTTTGAGCAATACTGGGGAGGATGGTAAGAGCTACTTAAGAGTTGTTTATTGTCCCCAAGAGGGACCTTAATTATTCACACAACTTTTTTAGATGCTCAAGGCCACTAGCTAGTGAAAGGTAATTTTAATAATAATTCTTTATGGAATAACTAAGCTATTACTGGAAACCTGACCATTATACAAGGAAGTTAGATAACAGAGCAATCAGAGGAGCTGGCTTTTTAAACCTATTTGGCTAACATCTGACAGCAAAAATGAGAGAGGGATGGCAAGTGATGGGGTGTCATAGTGTGAGTCAGAAGTTGGCAAAAAACTTCAGCTCCCCAGTGTCTCTTTCCTCTTGAGGTAAAAGCAGATGCTTCAAATGATCCTGTGAGTATAAACTGAATTATTTCATACCATGTTTATTCTCGAGATCCTCATCTGTAATCTGTCATGTGATAAATTATTTTCATGGAGAAGGTGGAAGTGGCAGGTGAGACTTCCTTCCCATGTTTTCTCCAAAAGTCTTTGACAACTATTTCACTACAGGAATAATGGATATTTTCATTTAACCACTATAGCAGCTGCTTTCATTTGACAATAAGAGCTAAAAGATCTCCATTGTTAGAACTATTTGCTGCTACTGCTTCTGAGACACTGGCTGGATGCTGCATCTGGTGAACATGCTGCTTCTGAAACTTGGAGCATAAACCTTTGACTGAAGCATTTTTGTGCTCTTCAGATCTGGAATTTCTGTCATCTTAGGAGTGGTGAAGGGATGGGATTTGTCAATCTTCCTGTAGACAGATCTCCTGGTGTTCCTGAAAAGTTACCCTGTATTCATGTAGTTCTTTTTCCACGGCATCTTATAGAGACTAGTCCAGCCCTCAGCCCAGAGAAGGCAGAGACCAAGAGAAGCCTGGAGATGCCTCGCTTGTCAGAAACATCGATAAAGGACAGACTGGCCAAGTACCAGGCAGCTGTGTCCAGGCAGGGCAGCTCCTCAGGCCCCGTCACCATGGTGAGTCTGCTCTCTGGCTTGTACTGAAATGAGTTTTTGAAAAATAACTTTGTGCCCATAGGAGTCATTTCTAATGTCTGAATATTGCAGGAAGTATTTGCATCTTCCTGGAACAATCTTGGACGTTTTCCAAATAATTAATTGCTGGCACCCTGACTGAGGCCCTTCTGAAACATGACACATCCTTTTCCTTTCTGCACGCCTGTAGCTCTCTGCATGTGTGGCTGTTTGTTTGTGAGGTGTTATTTTCAAAGCAACAACAACCACCAATTCAGTTCTGTGCTGTACAGTAGCTGTAAGACAGGGGAAACTGAGGCAGGCTAAGGTGGAGCAACTTCCAGCGTCATGCAGTGCACAGAACCTGGATCCCTTGGCCTGCAGCTTTGGGATCTCCAGTCAGTTTTCCTCCTTTTAGCTTTTCATCTCCCTTCAAGTCTTCTCACCCATTATCTGAATCCAGTTAGACTCCTGCACTGAATCAATCTGTGTCAATTTTGCAGATACTTGATCAGGAAATGAGCAATTAATGAATCATGGTGAACTGTTGCAGCTGAAGAGGTTGCAAGAATCTAAGCTTTTGTTAAAAAGTGCTGAAGTAGGGTTTGCTGAAACTGATCCTTTTGTTTAATGATGGGAACTTTTATTGCTTAAGCATGACTTTTATTAACCAGAGTAATACGTTTTAAGAGGACAGGCCTTTTTAAATTAGGAAACTTGCACTGGGGAAAAAAAAAAGCCAAAAATGATGATTCTAAGCTTTGAAGAGTGCATCCTGCCTGGGTGTCTTTGTAGATGGGGGAAAAGTCTCCACCCAGCTGAGATGGCTTCTGAATTTCACATGCATTGTGGTTCTCCTTCTCCAGCCCTTGGGAGGAAAGCAGAGTAAACTTCACTGCATGAATGGAAAATAATTGCAGGCAGTGCAACAAATCTGATTAGGTGCTAATTGCTGGTTTCTGCAGCCTCTTTCTGGCCTGGGTCGAGTTTGTTCTGTTGCCTTTTCCAGTTTGTGGCTCAAAGTGGCAGCTGATGGCAAGAGGTTTGCCATAGATGTCTCTTGAGACTCTTGTTTGCAAACCCCACTGCTGTTGGGTTTGAGTGTCAGTCTGGCCTGGTGCTTTTAGGATGTCTCATTTGGCAGAATCTGATTGTTTTGGTCTGGCACATTGACCAGGGGAGCACGTAAGATGGGGCAAAGAACAGTTCCTGAAGCCAGGGTTTGCAGTGCTGCTGTGTTCCAGTAGCAGCCAGAGCTCTTGGATGTTTTCCTCCCTTGCTGACAAATCAACCAGAGCTCTTTTGACATGGTAGTGTGGTTTGTGCTTCCCTCTCTTAAACATGTGACATCTGTGCTGCAGAGGAAAGGCATCATCTCTCTTGGGAACAAGCCTTTTGAGGGCCTTGTGGTGTAATTAGGCCTGGATTAAAATTGATGGATATTTGTTGGGTAGAGTAAGGGTGAGGAGGAACCATTTCTGTAGCATTGTAAGTGATACAGGAAGGGGAGGGAGAGGAGATAGGCAGCATATGTAGGGATCTCTACATTAAAATACTGACTCAATTCCATCCCCATCAGAAGGGGTTAGTTTTGTGCAGACTTGTTTACAAAACCCAGCAAGATGCTGGTGCTGGCATTTGGCTGTTTCTCTTTCATGTCACAGAGAAGATGCCTTGTGAAAGGCACGAGTCTTTCCCCAATTATCTTGTGTCCTGTGGCAATGAAGGAAACACGAGGTTTCATTGGATTGGGTTGTTGCTGGGTTGTTTTTTTTGAAGTGTGAAAGATTCTTTTGTGAACATCTTAAGCCAGTTTGTTGAGAACTTTTTGGTTACACAGGCGTATTTAGATAGTGCTTGTCTTGAAATACTTGTGATGTGAAATGAAAAGTGAAGATGTGGATTGAGCAGGGGAAATGAGAGTTGATTTCAAACAGGAATCTGAAGTGGAGCAGAAGGATTGTTTAGGAAAATGCTGGCATGGCCTCCATAGAGTGTAGTAACAACCTACAGCCCTATTTTGTTTTCTTCTTCAGAACATATCACTTACCAAGTTTGTATACATTTTTATGCCCTTTCCTTTAATTATCACTGCATGTACTAGGAGAACAGTTTTTTTTAAAAGATGTTAAGGAAAATGGAAAGCAAGTACTTTCCTAGGGGAAAAGAACCTGTCAACTTTCAAGTGCTTTATTCTATAGAATGAGATTCAAGCCAGTGAAAGTGAACTCAAGAATTACAAATCTGAGCAGAAGGAGAATATGCCACCAAGTCTTGAGGACTCCATTTCCTGTCAGGATGGGGAGAAGGTAAGATGCTCAAGCTGGTGAAGACCAAGGACTTCACTTTCAGTGGAACTAGATGTAGAAGCCCAGGTGATAGTTCCATTTGCCATCTAGGAAGAACATGAGCAGCTGATACAGACACATGCTGCAGAATTCCTGAATTTATTTGATTTTTTATGGACTGTGTCTGAATTACAAGTTAGCAAGTCTCTGTGGAAGACTTTTAAGCAGTGGTAGAGAATATCTAGAGACAAATCTTAAATTTTCTTGGAGACTTCCCCAGTCTTCTCAGGACTGACATGTCTGTAGTGTGGCAGGATCCTCCAGTATCTTATTGAGGTATTTTCTGATGGCTTCAGTAGCTGAAACCTCTGATGTTTTTGTGGGGGTTTTTATCCTGAATTTTTTTCTGCCTTTAATTTTTGACAACCATGATAAAAATCACCTGAAGTTTTATAGAAAACAAAGCAACCACACCAGAAAAACCCATGAGAAGCTTTGTGTGACACAGAATATAAGGAGTTGGTCCCTGTGTCTTCTGCAGTTAGGGGCTAAATTTTGATGAAGGTAACTGAGAGTGCCAGCTTGGGTTTGTTCCTGGTTTTGAACTTCAGCTGTAAATTGAGACTAAATCACCCTGTGAGTCAGAGCTAATAAAGCACACTCAAGCAGTTGTACACTGAACTGGGGGCAGCAGACGGGATAAAAGTAGCTGCATAATAATTGGGTTACTGTGTATTCCAGCCATGCTGAACACGTGGCAGCCTAATGCCAGGAGAGCTTTTTAGAGCTTTCCAGCCTTCCTTGGGCAAGGGGCCAAATGGTTGCTTTCAGCTGCTCCTCTCTGACAGCTGAGCAGCTTCGTGTTCAGCTGGCCAGGGCTGCTTTTTGCTAAAAGGTAAGTTAAGTGAAAGAACTCCTGTTAAATCAGGATGCATCCCTGGTGTTGGATGGAAGATGGGAATAACATTTCTCGTGTTCAGTTTTGATGGTGAAGTTACTTGTTGGGGTGTCTAGGTGCAATAAAGAACCTGAGCAGAACCTTGTTTGTGAGCCAGGATTGTCCTTTGGAAATGCTATGACAAACTTGGGAAATAAAACTACTAGTGAAAAATGTCAGAAATGGGAATTCTTTGGCAAATAGGAAACAAAAGAAACTTGCTGACCTTCTCTGTCATTTTTGCAGACTGAATCAGTGAGAGATTTAGTAGCCAGATGTGTGACTCTGACAGCCCCAGAACACACCCCTGCACTTCCTAATAAACTCCTGCTAGTTATCTTTCAGTAGACCAGAGTATGTTAATACATATAACTTCCTTCCTCGTTACCTCGTTAATTTGCAAACATCATTAAAGTGAATGAGTGATGATTTGCAGTTAATCTTGTTACTGTACTTTAGCTTCCCAGTGCAGCTACTTAAAACTATTTGATGTAATAGCAATAAACAAATAAAGTTTAATAAAGAAATACACATCCAGAGCTTTCTCTGTGACATGTTTAGTATCTGAAACTTCTTTATATACAACTCTTCTAAAAAGTGTGGGGGATTTTTAAATATGAATCTGTTTCAGAAGGAGGATGAACAGGATAGGTCCAGGCATGTTTGTCCCAACCTACTGCTTGGAGCCAAGGAATTCCTAAGGAAGGAATTCTGGAAGGTGCATCACTGGAATCAGCAAGGATTTTTGAGGACTGATAAATAAAGGGACACGAGCTGCAGGTGTTTGGGAAAATGAAAATGTGATGTTTGTGTGTGTGAGCACTATGGCAGATGATCTGAATATTGCAAGAGCTGTAAAGTTACGAGGATGTCTTACCTTGTGGCAAGGACTAACATTCTTGGCAGTCGAGCTGGACTCTGCTTTGTGCCTTACAAATCAGAAAGTACTTTCCTGTGAGCTCAAGATGGCTGGGCTTTTCCTGGTCAGGTGCTCCCAGTGTCTGGGAGCCTTTTGGCTTCCTCAGGCTCTGATTATTCAGACTTGAGAAGATTAAAGGTGTTAATTGTCTAATATTCTCTTGCAGGTTTCTGCAGGTGAGAACAACTTGTCTTTCCACTCTGGTCTTCTAGAGGATGGCAATGGTAAGGACTCATGCTCCTAAACTGATAGCTTGGGCAACCACTACATCAGTCAACAGGCTGAAATCCTTATTAATGCAGGACAATTAATAAGTATATTTGTTTTTGTACAGAGACAAGGTCCTGTTCTGTGAGTACATAAGCACACTGTCATGTTGCCTTAGCTTTACGCTAATTTCAAGCCCACACATGAGCACTTTGCAGAAATTTAGGAACAGTTTCTGGAAGTTGGATCCTGTGTATTCGTGTCCTTTACATATCAACTTAAATTTCCTGGTCAATCAGACAAGTAGAATGATCATGTTTCAGAATCTAAATGTAAACGTTTAATAGCAGATATCCATGACAAACTGTGTTAGTCCTCAGCTGTTTGGATTCCTGTGCAGCCTTACAAGCCTAAGCCTGCCATGGTTTTCCAGTCATAGTCATTGCCTTTTCTTCCTCATCTGCTTCCTTAGTTGGACAAAACTTGGAGAGAGAGACAGAAGTTCAGAAACCTGTCAGCACAAAGCAGCAAAACATTGCTTCTAAAACAGCTGGCCAGACAGATGCATCTCTGCCAAAAGGAGTTAAGGTAATGCAGCAATTCTCAAACATTTGTGACAGTTAAAACCAACTAACTTCTCTACTCAATATTGAAAAGCCTTAATGCAAAATGAGGTCACAAAGGGTCTGGCAGTAACTGTGTCAATATCTTGGTCTTCATCAGACTGTGTTCATGAGGGAGCTTTAATTCAAAATGGGAAAGTATCTCAAAGCTGACAGTTTTTCTTGAAAATCTGAGTAGCTTGCTGGGAGTGGTCCTGCTGCTGTTTGACAGCAGCTGCTGCTGCAACAGAGGAGGTTCCTCTCCAGTGTGGGCAATGGGGTTTGAGAAGGGGGCTGTGTCAGGGCTTGTCTGTGCTGCTTATAAAGTCAGTGCTCTTGGAGACTGGCACTGAGGTCCTGCTGCTGCCTTCAGAGCCTTTAGTGGCACCTGGCTTCCCACCCTCCTCTTCTACCTGTTCACAAGGTAACTGCAGTGGGTAGCAGTTGGTAGTAAGGGCAGTGAGGTGACTGACTCCACAAAGCTTGAGATGACATTCTGAGTAACAACTTACTGAACGTTCCATTTTCTTCAGTGGGAGCTGTAAAGCAGATGGAGAACTCCTTGGGTAGGAATGTTTTTGCTAATCTTATTAGACATGGAAATGGAAGTGCTGGACATGGTGACTGATCCCACTGTACCTACTTGTCATGTCTGGAGTGAGGATGCCTGTTCCTTGGGCTGCCACAGACTTCCTGGCTCCCTTTGGAGGAAACAACTGTGCTTTTGTTGTTTTCCCCATCTTTGAGAGGAGCAACACTGACCTCACAAAGACCAGTGAGATGTGGCTTCCCAGTGTTCTGGGGTATAAATGCCAGGATGCAAAATGAGGGTGGCCTGTAACATGGTTGTTATCTCAGACTGTCACAGCCTGCAGGACAGACACAAACTCTTGGTTGTCTTGGTCCTCTGCTCTCTCTTTATCTTATTAGAACCATTGTAGTCCTCTGCCTTGTTACTGCTTTAGATGCTGCACTGCTGAGATAGAAACCTTGGTGCTGTTTATTCATGTAAGGTTCCTATTTGTCTCTTCCAGCTTCTGTTTCCTGTTCTTGGTTCCTAACCTCTGCTCCTGCCTTCTGCTTCCCTCCTAATGTGAGCTCAACTCTCAGCTTTCTCTCAAGTGTTTTTATATATATTGGGCCTACCTTCCTCCTGTAGCTCCTATTCGTAGTATGCCTGGAAAGGAATTTCTTTCTCTTCACACCCCAAAAGGCTTCTCCATCAGACATAGGGCTCATTGTTACCCAAGTAAGTTCCTTTCTGATCTCAGATGGGGATGTGCATTGCAGAGGCACGTGCCAGCACTGTGATGTTATCCTGCAAAAGGCTTTCAGGGAGAGTTACCTTTGATGGGCAAGCAAATGGTTCCTGCCTTGTTCCCTGTGGCAGGCATGGATGATTGGATTTTTATTTGCATCAGTAAACTCTATTTTTTTTGAGATTTCATGTAGTGGCTCAGAATTTGGAATTCATATGCAGATTTGGCAGCACCTAAACATTGTGGAAGCCTGAACTTTTGTTGGTTGAGCTGTCATCATAACTGGAACTTCAATAAAATTTCAAGCAATGCCTTAAAAAAACTGAAGTACCTATTAAACTGGAATTAAATTGGCAGCAAACTTTATGGTTGTGACAAACTGCCTTCAGCTGGCTCTGTCTTCAGCAATCTGTCCCTCACCTGTTGTAACTTTCATTGCCTATCCATTGTTTCTAGTCTGCTATAAACAAATTGCTGGAATTATGTCTTCCTGTGACTTTCCTGTTCTTCCTTTAGCCATCATTTTTCTTAAAGCTTTTTAGTAAGTTTATAGCAGGTAATTATTTGTCAAAGCAAAGCTGGAGTGTCAGTGTGTCTATGCAGACCTGTGGTGTGGAGCCCAGGCCCCCTTACCCTCCTGCTGCAGCAATCACCATGCAGCCTGAGACTGCTAATTTTTCAACTGGAAGTTATTTAATTTTTCCTCTAAAATGTCTCCCCTATTGGGAAGCCTTCACAGGTTCCAAGAAGTGAATGGGATCAAGTGACCTTTTTTTCATGGACAATGTGCTTGGTGCTGTCAGAAAACAACATCCAAAATGATTGCCCTACAGCACAGCAGTGACACTTGACTCCTGAGTGTTTTAAGTTCAGCCTTGCACTGAACTTTCTTAGTGAGCATGTAAACAATTCTAGCTGTTTAACCTCAAATCCCTGCTCACTGTAAGGCTTGAGCAAGTTGGAGAGCTGTGTGCCTGGAAACCTGAGTGTGGTTTCTTTGTGATGGGAATTGCTTACAAACCAAGTTAAGCTTTTCCTGCTGCCCTCATCTGTGCTGAGGATATTTCCTTCTCTTTAAGAGAGTATTTAGCAGAAGTGGATCATTTCAAACCATTGAGCAGCCTGTTCCACTTCTGTCCCTTCCCACTCTGTACCTTTTGTTTTGAGGTTATTTCAGCTCCTTTTCTACACTGGTTTTATATTTTGGTAAGTCTCATTCTGATTGTAGTCTACCTGAATGTTTCTTCATTTTCCTATGAAGAAAAAATGGGGTTGCAGAAACAGATTAGGCAGCTTCTTGAGAACTAGCTCGAAGTTATAACCAAGTCCTAGTATTTTCACTATTGCTAAACTTGTGATGGTTCATCTGTGGAATTGACTAGGGCAAAGTCTCAGCTCACTGTCAAGCCACAGCAGTCCTGGGAGGCTGGCCATAGCCTCTTCCTCACTCCTTGCCCACCAGAGCTCCCTCTATCATAACTGGCATTGAGCTGCAGAAAGTGAATTACTGCAGTTTTTCTGAGAACTCTGCAGCTGTACGTGAGCCCAAGTCAAGTCCCCTTGGGGCTGATTAATTTCTCAGTGAACAAGTTTTTTTTCCTTTCCCCATAGAAATTTCAGTTGCCAGTGAAGGAAACCTGCGTGGGGTGTCAGAAGACCGTGTACCCGATGGAGAGGCTCTTTGCCAACCAGCAGGTGTTTCACATCAGCTGCTTCCGCTGTTCCTATTGCAACAGCAAACTCAGGTAAACACGCTGCTCCATTTGGCTGCTCGAGGAAGTGCAGCTTTCCTGTCCCCCAGCTGAGCAAGGGGCTGTTCAGGCTTAGCTGAGCTGGAGGCAACCGTGATCCAGCGAGGTGAAGAGGAGCAGAGGAGTGGTAATATAGTCCTGGTTCAACCAGGGGATTCTGCACATGATGCAGTCTTATTTTTATAAACTCTTAATGTCATTTTATGTGGGGAAAAATATCATTTCCAACTTGGTAAAGAACTGACATTTGAAAAGAGGGGCGTATAGACTCAGGAAAGCTCTAAGTTGTCTTTCTAAACATGTTGGAAGACTGAAATAGAACCTCTTTCAATAACATAACTAAAATACAAGCCTGTCCTGGTGGCTGAGGCACAGAATGCTAACATTTGACTTTGTATTTCCTTGGACAGTCTTGGTACATATGCATCTCTGCGTGGGAATATTTACTGCAAGCCTCACTTCAATCAGCTCTTCAAATCCAAAGGCAATTATGATGAAGGCTTTGGACACAAACAGCACAAGGAATTATGGGCAGGCAAAACTGAATGTGAAGAATCCCCAGAGAAAACTGTCCAGGGTGTAAATGCAGCAGAAAGTCCACACAGCCCAGGAGTAGAGGATGCCCCAATTGCAAAAGTAGGAGTTCTGACAGCAAGTATGGAGGCAAAAGCTTCAGCTTTGCCTGAGAGAGAAGAGAAACCAGCAGAAACAAAAAAGCTCCGGATCGCCTGGCCGCCTCCTTCTGACCAAAGCATTCAAGGAAGTGCCTTAGATGAGGGCATCAAAGTACTCAAACCCAAGTGGCCCCCAGAAGAAGAGATTTCCAAGCCAGATGTGCTGGAGGATGTGGATCTAGATCTGAAAAAGTTAAGAAGATCTTCCTCATTGAAGGAAAGAAGTCGTCCCTTTACAGTTGCAGCCTCATTTAGAACAGTATCTGTTAAAGGCCATAAAACAGAGAATTCACCTTCTCCTTCTAAGGCAGAGAGAGACAAGTTGAAAAGAAGTGAGGAACTGGAAAGAGAGGTCCTGGTAGACAAAAAGCAAAAGGAAAAGAAGGTTGAGAATAGGAACACCCAGACTGCTGAAGAGAAAAACCTAGAGGAAGAACAGGATTTGTCTCATGTCAAAGCAGTAGAGCACAACTTTGTAGAAAATGGGCAGGTGAATGCAGAGACAGATGAGGAACAACACATGATGGAAGAGCAGGAACTTCCAAATGAAGAATTCCTTGAACCAAATTCTCCTAAACATTCCAGCTTAGCCAATGTCATGACTGCTAAGGAATCATCCAACCAGAATCGCAAATCCCAAGATGTTGGTTTCTGGGAAGGTGAAGATATGGAAGATCTGTCTGTGGAAGAACAGATCAAGAGGAATCGTTACTATGAAGATGATGATGAAGAATAAATTGGCCTTTTACTAGAAAACTTGCTGCAAGGTGCTGGGCCTTTTTAAATGGGTGTTTTTAGCTTTAACAAACAGCTGTCCTCCATGAAAGTGATGCTCTACTGCACATGGACATTAAGGGAATCCTGTGTATAAACCATCTCAGCTAGAAAAATACTCTGGAAGCCTCAAAAAGAGGATCTTTAGGTGCATGGAAACAACTACCTGGCTGTGGGACAGCTTCAGCAGGCAATCTCTGCTCCTACTGTCTCACCCTTTTTGAGCTTCAACAGCTATTTTACAAACAATTCACAGAATTTCACTGTCCTCATAATGAAACAGGCTGTGAAACAGGTTTTCTGTAGCCACTTTTACCACTACAAATGCTACTGCAGAGCTTAGGGACCAATTCCAAAGGGACTTTCTGGCCTGCTTGAAAAATTACAACAGAAGGCACTTTAATACATGTCAAGGGCACAACTAAGGAGGGGTTTTGAATAAAAACATATCTTTGTGCTTAGTATCCAACAACTAAAGCATCTAAAACTGAGTGCAATGTGATTTTTCTTTCTCAGAACTGCCAATGAGACTCCTTGCTCCCTTCATTTTCCTCTGTGCAACTGGAATGGGGTGCCCAGGTGTTTTGGTGCATCTCCAGGAGCTGTGCTGGCTGATAGGTCTCTTTGAGGACAACTCACCACTTTTGCAGTAGCCTGCAGGGCATTACTTTAGCATTTCAAGTGGGGGGGTTGGGGTTTTTCTTCTTTTTTGGTGTTTGTTGTTTGTTTGTTTGTTTTTTACTTGGAATTCATCATCGTTCATTTTAAACTGCAGATAATATTTTTTAAGGCCTTTTGACAACTTTGAAATCTCCCTTGTACCAAGTTGCCCTAAATCTTTTTCCATTATGGCTGTGAAATTATGCTGCATTGCAAAAATCTCTGGAATAAAACCATCTCAACAGTGAGACTTCCTGATTGCTAGCGTTGAAGCATTTTTAAACTTGACTTCATTTATTTTAAGAATCATTAAATCTTGACCAGTGGAAGGAGGATGCTCTTTTATATTAGCTTTTATTTGTACTGTATTCTCATGAGAATTAGCTCTTAACTATACTTGAGGTGTAAAATATTCTGCTTTGTTAACAGTCCTGCTAACTACAAAACCTTCAATAAAGTTTGGTCATTTACTTTCAATTTTGAAGTCTGAAGCCTGGATTTATAAGACCATGGGAAAAAGATGGAAGAAATAACAGTGGTTCTTCCTGGAGGCTGAGGGACAGTGATTTTTCTGGTGCCACTAGGTGACACTGTGTGTCCGTGTTCTGGTTGACAGGCAGCCTGTGCTCTCCTGTGCAGGAGGGTGTGGAAGAAGGATTGGAACGGGATGGGCAAATGAAAGAAGGACATGCAGGTATTTTAAACTTCCATTTCTGGCTTCAAGTGAGTCTCGGGCATGGTAGCTGCAGACAACTGAGGGGGTTTTATTTATTCCCCCCTTCTATAAGTTGTTTTGTATTGCAGTTATCTTCACTTAAGCCCGAGGTGGATTTGTCTGGGAGAGAGGGGATAAGGTCTAGAAATGCAGTAAGTTGTGCAGCAGCATGAGAAAGTGCACGTGTGTTTGACATATGTCTGGGAGGGAGAAGGAAAAAGAAGCCTGCAGTCTAGCTGGAGGAGGTAGCAGCAGCAGCATCATGAGGTGCACAACCTCCTGCTAATTTTCCTTTCTTTTTAAGGAAGAAGTCTTGATCTGTACAGGAAGGGGTACTGCAAAGCTAAGAAGGCTGATATTCAAGCACACGCTGCTTTCTGTAACCTGTGTCTCTTCCTAACAGAATCCATTTGGTGTCAGGTTTCCTCAAATTGCTAAGCAATTGAAGATTTATTTTTCTGCCTGGAAATTGTGCTAGTTGTATTTGAAAAAGAAGGGGAGAATTTTAGTTGTGGACTTGGATTTATTGAACATGCCTGCTACTTGTTTCTTAGGAAACGCAACTGAACTCTACAATGAATCCCTAGTTACAGGATCCTAAAAGCAATACTAGGTACAATTACCAGATATTTTAACATTATATATCATTAGTTCTACTTAAATCTGAGGCATTTATGAGTCTCGTGGATGCAAGGACCCTTACTGTTCACTCACAACTGCCTGAACATCTATCTTCAAGGACAAATTAGCACAAGTGGTACTTTTAAATAAAGTCGTTGATTAAAAAGAAGTGAACAGATCCTGAACTAGCCTGTTCTTGAATCTATTAGTTATCATAGTATTTGAGTGCTTAATGGGCCGTTTAATGTGCTCTCAACTGGACAGATGCCAAAAGAGCTATTAGATGGAAGATGGATCGCTTGCCACACTGTACAAGGAAGTTGCTGCTGACCAACCTTTATGAAGAGCATCTAATTGAAAAGCTTACAGCAAGGCTGGGCTTTGGTACATGGTAACCCTCATCCCAGGAGCATCAAGCTAAACCACAAATTTCTCTGGATATTTTAAAAGTTATAAGGAGTATCTCAAACCTTGCCAAACAATGTACCACTGGCTGTTTTGTGCTTAAATGTTAAACCACATCGCTATTAATATTAGTAAAACTAATCCTTGTTGTCTTACCATTAACTCTTCACGTGAGAAGTTCCACTGTCCTGCTTGCAACAGTGGTTTGTCCACGAGTTGAGCATCAGCTGCCTCATGTTGGGCCAGAACTGGGCTCCTGCCTCAGCTGGGGTCTTCCCCTTCAAGATCCTCCAGTTCCAACTTCCCTGCATGGGCAGGAACTTCTTCCACCAGCCCAGGTTGCTCCAAGCCCCATCCAACCTGTCCTTCAACACTGCCAGGGATGGGGCAGCCACAGCTTATCTGGGCAGCCTGGGGCAGGGTCTCACCATCTTCACAGGCAAGAATTTCTTCCTAATGTCCAACCTACATCTCCCCTCTTCCAGTTTTAAAGCCATTCCCCCTTGTCCTATCACTTCATGCTCTTAAAAAAAACAACAGTCCTCTAGCTTTCTTGTGGGCCCCTTTTAGGTACTGGAAGGTGCTCTAAGGCTTCCCCAGAGCCTTTTCTTCTGAACACCCCCAACTTTCTCAGCCTGCCTTCCTCACAGAGCTGCTCCAGCCTCCACGGCCTCCTTTGGATTTGCTCCAGCAGGTCCCTTGGGTCGGTGGGGTCTAGAACCAGACACACTGCTCCAAAAGACTGTCTTGAGGGCTTTTTTTCAGTCAGAACAGAATCTGAGGGGTTGGGAGGGACTTCAAAAGATCATCCAGCCCAACCCCGCTGCAATAGCAGGGTCACCCAGAGCAGCTCCCACAGGATCCAGGTGGGTTTGAATGTCTCCAGAGAAGGAGCCTCCACAGCCTCTCTGGGCAGCCTGTCCCAGGGCTCTGTCACCCTCACAGTGACCAAGTTCTTCCTGAGATTCACATGGAACCTCCTGTGCTCCAGTTTGCCCCTTGTCCTGTCCCTGGACATCCCTGAGAACCTGGTTCCATCCTCCTGACACTGCCCTGAACGTGTTTGTGACCACTGATGAGGTCGCCCCTCAGTCTCCTCCAAGCTCAATAGACCCAGCTCCCTCATCAGGGAGATGTTCCACTCCCTTCATCACCTTTGTGGCTCTAACAACCCATCTCTGTTGGTGGAAACCCTCCCCTGAGGGCTGGAACCCTTCTCTATTGATATAAACACCCCCCCAGGAGGGCTCGGACCCGTTTCTGCTGGTATAAAACCCACCTCGAGGGCTCTAACAACCCATCTCTGTTGGTGTAAAAGCCCCCCGAGGGCTGGAACCCGTCTCTCTTGGTATAAAATCCCCCCCTCGAGGGCTCTAACAACCCGTCTCTCTTGATATAACCCCCCCGAGGGCTCAGACCCGTCTCTGCTGGTATAAAACCCTCCCCGGGGGCTCTAACAACCCGTCTCTATTGGTATAAACCCACCCCGAGGGCTCTAACAACCCCTCTCTGTTGGTATAAAACCCTCCCCGGGGGCTCTAACAACCCGTCCCTGTTGTTAAAACCCCCCCAGACCCCCTGACGAGCCCTGAGGCGACGAACGCCCCGCGCGCGCGCAGCCCGCCCA